ATTAAAACTTCTCTTGAAATGAATGCCAAACAGTGACATTAAAGGTATATTACTATATGTCTATATTATAAGCATACTATATATAGGTTCAAAAACTAATTAGAAATTAAAATCAAATACCTACCTACTAAACGATACATTATAGTTTATAAAATAGTTAAAATATGGTCCAATGTGTTTTAGTTTTGAATTAAAAAAAAAAATATTGTAGTTTCTATTGCTGATAGAAAAAAATATTTTACAATTAACATAACACAACTCTAAATTTGTAAATTTGAAGCCCTATTTTATTGAAGCAAAACGTTTTAAGTTATACTTTCATTTCGGTCAGTAAATCACAATATATACTACTATACAGTTATCAAACCAAATCGTGTAAATTAAGAGAATGTCTATAATCGATATAAAGTGGCAGGAAAAGTCATTATTCGAATATAGTCGTGCATAATCCGCTTATAATTTACCAATACCTAATTTTATACTGTACTCGATGTTTCAGTCTTCCAGACCGAATATCCGAGCAACTTTGGTAATGCATTGATATGTTTCTAGTCTACAGTACCTGTGGTTTTAATGATAATTTATCTTTAAATTATACATTCCATTCGGAAAATAACATACGACTTTACTTTTGCTAGGTATTGAATACTTTCAATTATTGAGTGATCGTGTTTGAAATGAATTTCTAATATGAAAAAAAAAAACGATGTGATTTGTTGCGCAATAGAAAATTAAACAGTGTATAACAGAGAGTAATCGTTGATATGCTTAAAACAAATCTAGGCGACTAGCAATGTAAGCGTTAGCGTCTATAGTAATATATTCAGAAACGACTATCGTGGATTACATTTTATATACCATTCTTTTTATGTACAAACGAAGATCGAAGATGGACGTTCGATCTTAAACATTAAATTATGTATAATTTATTCAGTCCTTGGTCATTTCGGTTGCAAAAATAATGTGATCTGAGCGTTGCAATGTGCTGTCCTTTTGTGTACGAGCAGAAGACTACATCATTATTTTCCGAAAATATAATTTAAAATTCGATTTATTTTGAATAGCTTTTGCAAACTTACATTTCGCAGACAGACGTTTATTACGTAACAGTATACGATATTCGAATAATAATAATAATTATGATAATATAACAACTTTCATTAGTAGAACATGGATTTAACGTATATCGATGCACAAGTGCATAAACAATTCAACTATACCTAATATTTTTTATGAAATTATTATTTATTAACTAGATAAAATACAATCTATTGTTATGGCTGTGGATTAGGTGCTTATAATTGCGGTGCTTAACATTTTCACACAATTAAATTGAAGTCATTTGTAATATGAAGTTTTTGATGTATCTTTTTTTTAAATCAACAAATAAAGATAAGTACATATAATATATTTAATATTATTCAAATCTCAAGGTTTGCCAAGGGTAAGACGTCTGTCATTAATTAATGTAAGCTTATTATATCTACCTAACTATAGTTAAATAGTTGAAATAAAGGGTTTTAAATGTTGAAGATTTATTGTAATATTATTTACTGTTTTATTGAATATTTCTTATATGTCTGAAACAATGTGTACAATTTAACAGCTTAATACAAATGTGAAATAGGTATTAAATTGTATACACAGCGTATATTTTATGTTTATAGTTTGAGATATCTATCATTTTTTGACAACCGGAGTTCATTTATTATAATTATTTCAAACACAAACAGTATTATCATTTGTATCTACACACACGTGGTCACATCTCCAGCAGCGATAAATTAGGAAATTAATTGCCAACATCAAGGTTTTACTTAAACTGTGTATATTTATTGCAATCGACATTTTCAAGGACAAACATAATTTACATAATATTTATAAAGAATACACTATATTATTGATACATATATTTATTATAACACATTTATTTATAAATAGTAAACACTATGCTAAGTTTAAAATGTTATACATCGTTGAAAATCATATGAGTTCAAAACTATAAATTGCCTTAAAAAATTGTAATGTCGTACATTTTTCAACCGAATAATTTTACTTTTTCATCAACAATCAATAATCAGTCAAATATTTGTCATTTTATGTATATTCAGAGTTTGTAAAATGTACAGCAATACTTACATAAAATATGTCAAAATTAAATCATACATTTTTTGATAAGAAACAGTTGTTTTATTTGTTTATTTTTAGCTATTAAAGAATGTCAAACATTTTTTGGAGATCATAAACATATTTATTGCATACACGCAGATGCATACATGTGTTTGATATTATAGTACATTTAGTAAACAATTTAATCTTCTAGATTTTAACACACACAAATTCTATAGTATAAATGTAATATTTATACGAATTATTTAATCATACATTTCAAATTGTTCTTAGCATAATATCGAATAATACAATTATTAACAAAATAATATAAAAGTATGTGCACAAGTATTCACATAAACTACAACTTACTAGTCAATAAATATTTACAAAATTAACAGAAATAACAATAAATTATCTTTGGCTTATATTCTGATACAGGGATCGGCGTCGGGTAAACTTTTTTCATATGGACATCAAAATAGAGACAGACTATTTTACATTCAACAAACTGCATTATTTTTATTCTAAAAAATTAGATCACGTAAACTACCGATAAGACTTCAAAATATTATTATAAATTTTGATACATGCCAACAGACCGCATTGAGAGTTGCCAAAGAGCACGCGGGATCTAGATTGCCAAACCCTGTTCTAAAATATATAATTATTCCCTCACTGTATATTTTATGCACAAATATTAAATATCCGTAAAAAAATTTATTAAGTCTTACATAACCTAGCTAAATTATTATAATTTTTTTTAAAAAATATTTTCTCTAACAATAATGAATTTTAAATTCTGCGACCTTTATATTATTTTAAGACTAGAAAGGTAATTCACAAATCGCACTATGAAACAATCGATATAATATATATTTTTACTAAATCATACCGACTTAAATAAAAATAATAAATAAATAAAGTAATCAACATAAATAATTTATTTTGAAACTATCTTGGTAACATTTTCCGGTCTAAAAATTAATCAGTAATCGCTATTACTATTAATAAGGATGGACGAGCTATAGCTATTACACGTTGTCGTCTTACGTAACTGCAAAACCACACACTCCTAACCCAATAATTGGAGTGGGCCTAAAGTTACGCAGGACTCATCAAATAATTGCCATGCACACACATTTTTCACAAATATAAATTTGCACACACACCCACATACACACACACACAAAAGCTTAATCCGTGTCGCTGAAAGCGCTTCATTTTCGTGTCCACTGCAGGATCACCTGCGTTTCGAGCAGATTTCGACTCACTGTTTCCGGAAGTTCCTGGGTCTGAGTCGGAAGGGAAAAGTGACAAACGGCAATGCCAGGTTCCCTTTTGGCACGTCGTACGATACATCTTCGACCGGAAGTAGCGTATACTTGTTCAGCAGCGTGCTAATTGTGCAGAACGACAATAGCTGCACCAACTTGTATCCCATGCACGACCGTTTTCCACCGCTGAACGGTATGAAGTAGTCCGGTTTCTCCAACCTCCCTTCAGCGTTTATGAACCTTTCCGGGCTGTAGTGTTCGGGGTTGTTCCACAGTTCCGGGCTCATGTGCAGACTGTAATTGTTTAAGAACACCGTCGTGCCTTTCGGAATCCGGACACCTGTAAAAATAAAACGGTGAGTAAAATCGATCGCACGTTTGCGGAATGTCGTTTGTAAGGACTTACCATCAACCGAAGTATCTCTGTTGGCCAAATGTGGTACGATTGGTGAGGCGATCAGCCGCAGTGATTCGTAAACGACGGCCTCGGTGTACGGCATCTGAGATCGGTCGGAAAGGCCAACAGATCCGGAAGCCCGAACCACGGCATCAGCTTCCTCTTGAATGCGTCGCTGCACGTCCGGTCTGTCCACCAGGAATCCCAACGTCTTGACAATGAAGTTCGTGATGGCCGCATGACCGCCGATTATGTCCTCTAGCGAAAAAAGTCCGATGTCTATGTCGAACCCGTCGTCCCGGTCGGGCTGCGTGACGGCATCGAGCAAGTTGTCCACGAAATCCACTGGTTTGGAGCCCGGCACCCAAGCAGCTTTCCTCTTATTGAATATTTCGGTTTCCATGAAATTGCGGATTTTTGAGCTCCATGTTCTGATTTTTTTGAAACGCCAGTGGTACAGCGGCATCAGACTGGGCAGGAAGTCACAGGGTGCTCCTTGGTTTACCTCGTAGAACACGTCATCAAAATTTCGGATAAAGTCTCTGAACTTGTCGTAGGATCTGGAGAATCGGGTGGAACAAAAGTACGACATGAACACGTTGGCACACGTATGAAGCAACATGTTCTTGACGTCTACACATTCAGTGTCAGCCATTGTGTCTAAGGTGTCGGTTAAATCGGCCAGTTCGGTTTTTAAACACTTGTCCAGTCTTGTATACATGTTGGACGTGGTGTTGGGAAAAGTATGAGCTCTAAGTAGTTCTCGTCGGGTTTTTTGTAGCTGAGACCAGTCACAAAACGCCAGAGCTATTGTATGAAAAAATAATAAAAATAAATATGACATTTGAAAAAATCTACTAATTTGAATTTAGTTTTAAATAACAAAACATCGTTTTTATTTTTTCGTTTAACCGGATAAATTATACTTACAGTTGTTTCTATCGCCTTTGAACAACTGGTTGAACCGGCGGAATGAAGGACGGCTGTCGAAATGGTCGCCTTTTATCATTAACACCTCTCGAATATTGTTTAATCCATTGACGACAACGCACGGAACCGATCCCAGATCCATGCGAAAAACGGATCCCAAGTCAGCCATGATCTCATCGAACACTCGATACGGTACCTTATACCGGGCCATCAGGTACAGATGGCCAATTATCGGCCACGCTTTGGGAGCGGGTGGATCGACGAGACCCGTGCTGTGGTCCACTTGTTTCGTTTTCAATTCATCTCGAATCAGGAACAATAATACGGCAGTTAACACGAAGAGCAACAAGTACGTTAAAGAACTGAATACAAACTCCATTATAATAATAATTATTATTTATATTTAAATACTTTTAGAATTGTTTCGGTTTGTTTAGTTAAAATTAATTTTTTTTTTTTAATCGTCGGTAATCGCACAGCTCAAGCCTCAAATGTGTGTGTATGTGTTGTTGGTGTGGCTGTTAAACGTGTGTGCGGAGCTCTTGCGCTCGACAATTGGTGTGTCACGTACAGTTTTTCCTTTTATAATAGCCACACGACCAGCATCAGCTGACTGAGAGCATTCAATAAGGCAGATCGAAGTGATTTCCATTGCAAATCAGAATTTTTCCCTTTCATCCTGTTGCCCACCAGCGTGTTCACCTACAATATGTAAAACCCATCGCTTCGGCTAGACGTACATATTAAACAGCCATCTTTGATCGGGCATGACGTAATCTATACACGGATGTTGCGCTCGTTTAGACTTAATTTTAATATGTTTAAAACTCCTTTGGTAAAAAAAAAAAAAAGGACAAAACATCACGCTAAATACCTATCTACTCAAATGGCCTAACCTAACATAATGTGTGTTACAAAATGTTTAATTCAATAATTATTTTAAATTATTATTACCCTTGCTGCTAAAGTTTAGCTGATGAATGCAATTATGTATATACATCCTAATATTGTAGAATCCTACTATATATGTTTACAATATCATAAAAATATTACTTGTAGTTACCGGTTGTCTCTAATACTACAAACTATACATAAAAACATATCTACAATTTTAAAAGAAAAACGTTCTAAACAAATCGACTCAAGATAATATAAATATAATATAATTATAAAATAAATCTTATAAGTTATAAATATATTTAAAAAAATACTCTTATTGACAGTTTTATTTTTGTATGAATTATAGGCAGTAACGTAGCGTAATAGGTTGTAGGTTCCTATTTATCAAGGATTGGTAAATCTAGTTCTGATGTTTTTAATGTATTTTTGGATAAACTGAGTAGAAGTTTTAGATAAGTTATAGGTAAACTGAGTTCTCGTTTTAAAATATTTGTAGGTAAACTGAATCACATAAATCAATATAGTACGTGAAGTGTCTAGGTACTTAGATTGTTAATCACTAAAAACTATTTGTTATTCAAAATACAAATTATTCAAATTAGTATACCTATAACATTCTTATCACTTATCAGTTATCATCTCTAAAATCATTATAATTTCCAGTTACATATGGAATTAAATCAATTAGATATCATCAAGAGTTCAAATTTTGAAAAAGATGCAACCAAATTCAAATTAAACATTTGAAAAATATTGCAACAATAAAAAATCCTGTAATGCCAAATGTGTGCTGTATAATATCATTATTATTTTGGCTAGATAGCCTATTCATGTTATCTAGGAAACTGCGGAAAAAAAAATTTTGATAAGCTAACTTCATAAACTGTCATATTCCTATATACTTATATTTATTATTGTTGTAATTTTTAAGTAACGAAAGAAGTCATAATTTCTTTATATTAAATATAATTGTATAAAACCTATACAGGTAAAAATGTATAGGATACAGATTTAATGAATTCAAGTAAAAACTTTTAGTTTTCATTAATTTTTGTGATGAAAAAATTTCGTACATAAGCCGGTGACCAAACAGTTCACACTCATTGTTTGGTTATTCCCAAAACAGCTCAGGTACTTAACAATACAAATTAAAAATGAAACCAAACTCACATGACTCGTGTACTCGGCGAACAGAATAATGCTTGAGTATATTTAGTCGCTTATACATGACTCGACAGGAAAAACAAAAAAAAAATTAAGGAAAACGGGAATTTTTACGCAAAAACCATGGCAACATCATGACATTTTCACAGAATGTTTGTGTCAGCATTTTCCATACACCATACAATTTTCAAAATATTTTGACTTGTGTTGAACTATTTATGGGCGTATGAAATTTTCGATTGATATTTGTTTTTTTCAAAACTGCCGTCGATAAAAATGTTTCACTCAGTCAAACGACTTGAAAATGTAAAACAAAGTCTCTCGTAAGTTGTTGTTAGTGGAAATTAAAAAAAAGTTAAGCGTAATTCCACAATAACTTTTTATGAGAGTTTGAATTTAGAATTTTGACAAAATTTGTAAAAATCACGAAAATTATCAAATTATTTTGCGTTAGAAATACATTAAAATTTTTCTTTTTGTAACTAAGATTTAAAAATGTTATACAAGATTCCTCAAAAATAATTTTGTAATAAGTTTGCCTGCCTTTATTAAAAATAAAATTTCTACTGGAAAGTCAAGTTAAAATTTTAGGAGCGTGTGTGAAGTTGAAATTTTTGAAATTTTTACAACTTAGGATATTCACTCATGAAGATTTCATCATATAGCGATTTTCTTATTTTGCTGTAATTCGCAAACAAATAACTGTAGGAACTTGACAATTACACCATATGTTTATTTTATCAATTTGTATTTTCATATTTTTTTTCTTAAAATGTCAATAAAATTGTATTTATTGAGTCAAAAAACATAAAAATTTAATATAAGACTCCTCATATATTATTTCAATTGTAGTTGAAAAATATTTAAAAAACATAGGCACGATATTTTTTTTTATAAGCATTTAAAGTTCAAATTTTCACAACATTTATCAAATTGAAAATCGAAAATGATTTTTTAGTTAAAAATGTATAAAATTTTCAATTTTTATAGCTAAGGATTGAAAATTTAAAACAAAGTTCCACTAAGGCAGTTTTTTTTCATAACAAAAAAATTATAAATACATTTATTTTTTATAGACATTGTAAGTTCAAATTTGGACAAAATTACACATCAACACTAAGCATAACGATTTTTGTCATTTTGTTGTAATTGGGTTCTAAAATAGCCCAATTTTACATGAGTATTTTAAATATTTTTCCAGCATCACTGATAATTTAATAATATTATTATGAATAATATTAATTCAACTTACCAGCTACCGTATAAATAGTAATTAATGAGTAATAGCAATGTACAATATCCTAGACTGACAAACCGTTTTTGTTCAGAATCATTTTTCGTATACAATGATATTGTACTATTAAATTCAAATTGAATATAATTCATTACAGGGATGTTCTGTACCTGCCATCCACTTACCCGCTTTTTAATGTTAAGATTGATATGTCTAAATCATTTTTTAAATTATAGAATCTGAGATTCACTTGCATACCTGGTCTAAAACAATAACTACCCGTGTATTTGGTCATTAACAGCATTAATTGCAGTACCTATAATATAATATATAATACATTATAGCAATAACACATAATAATACGAATAATGGGTTTAAGTCTTAATATCATTAATTTATACCGGTTCAAGAATAGCATTCACAAATCACTCTTCTGATTTCTAGTTGAAAATGTTAACACGCAATAAATCGAATTTATATATTATCTTTTCACCGATGTTGTATTTTTTTGATTTTAAGTAATTTTGTTTACTAATATTAAAAGCATGGCAACAAAATATTTAGCTTGTTTATACAATCCAATACATATTAGACACTTTATTTATAAATTTATTTTATTCATATGTTGATTTTAAAATATTTTAATATTAATTTTATTCTAAAATAATATTATCGTTACCTAATAAAGTTTACAAAGTAACTATAACTATACACAGTATTATTTAAAATATAAAATCCAATATACTTATGCCTATACGGTTTTATTTATCTAGAGGTTCTCCGGAGAAACAATGCAGGATTTAGAAGATGTTATAGCCTATCAAAAGGAATATATATGTCACATAAATAAAAAGCTAGAAGATTTTGAGTCAGTGGTTCGTGAAAGAGATGACTTACGAGAATTATACAAACAATTTGGAAAAAATAATGATGAAATGAAAATTCAAAGTAGACAAGTGTTCGAAGATCTCTTATCTAGCTATGAAATTCAAACCGAAACGCTTAAGAAAGTTGCAACTGCAGAATACCAATGTGAACTTAGGAACGAGAAACTAGAAGACAAAATTAGTGATATAGATCACGAACTAAAAATTCTAAAATGCAGTGAAAACAAATTACAATCAGAGTTAGCAGACTCCGAAAACAATTTGAAATGTGTTCAGAATGAACTATGTACAACTAAAGTAAATACTCTCAAATAATCTCTTTTCATGATTTTCGAATGATAATATAACTGTAACGAAAATTGGCATCGTAAAATAATTTTAGATTTTGTAATCGTTTTATTATAATCTATACATCAATTTCAGTATTTTATGAAGCATTAAATTAAATAAATTAAAGCAAAATATAATATTATAAGTATTTCAATACTATAATATACAATATAGGTATACCGGTTTATTATAAAAAGATACTCTCGAGTTTTAACCCTTGGGGCAGTCTATTTTATTCTATGATGATGCCATTTAAAGTTTATGTATATTGTATGCACAAATATTATTTGTTGGAGTTGATTTTCACCTCTAATTTTCAAGCACAATTTAATTTGACCGACATATTTAACTTTGGTACAACTGCATTTTATTTGACGTTTTGACTGTAATTTGATCATCTTCACCTTATTTGATCGAACAACAATTTTGAATATAGCTGTTTGACTTGTTTCACTGTCACTAATCATACATAATAATAAAGAAAAACGTTGTTGAACTATTATGCTTTGAACTTCAGATTTAATCCATGTTACTTTTACTGCAGTATTTAGAAATGTATAATTTACGCCATTAGGAATTATAGAGCTCAATGCCCATTGAAATTTGGTTCTTTTTTTTATAAGCGTGCAGTAGGTGCGTAAAGCTAACGACAATCGAATCTACAATCAGAATAATATAGAATACTCAGTACACTTTATAGTTTATAATGATGTTGATAAGTTATTTGCACATTTGTATTTGTATTTTTTCAGTTGGAATTAGAAGAAAAAAATAGTATGATTTCAAAATTGGAGACTAATTTTAAAGGAAAAGAACAGGAGCTACATACAGTTAGTAGAGAACTCGATGAGTGCAAAACAAAATGTACTAAATTAAATCAAGCAAACGAGAATTTGAATATGGAATTAAACGCCACACACAAAATTCTAATTGACACAAAATTATCTGTCAAACATTTGGAGGAAACGTTTAAACTAGAGCGAGAACATTTATCAGACAAGTTGGAAATAAGTTGTAAAAAAATTGACGACTTAGAAATGCGTAACGATAAAGCCAAAAGGGACTTAAACGGTGAAAGAAGTACAATCAAAACTTTTTATGAAAAAATAAAAGAATTAAATAAAACAAATGAAAAAACTAATTTGGAAACAAAAAAACAGTTTAAAAAATTACATGACAATTTATGTTCCTTGAAGGAAAAAATCAATGAGTTGGAGCAAGAAAGTGATTGTAAATGTATGGAAATAAAAACATTAAAAAATAAACTTGACGAGAGGGAATGTCAACTCAAACAAATGAATATATTATCAGAGAAAATTAACCAAATCGAAAAAAAAGTCGAATCTTCTTGTTCAAAAAATGTAACCGAAACTAATACTTGTTGTCGGAAAGAGAAAACCAACCTTAATATTTGTTGTAGATGTGAAGATTACACGACACATACGTGTTGTGGTGCACACGAAAAAACTGTTATTCAAAAAGATGACACAAAACCGAATGAAGGTAATATTCATAAAACCATATTGAAAAATTTGATATGTGAGCTTGGAACTCTACTACATAATAGTTTTTAAATATAAATAACAGAAAATGAAACTGAAGTAAATGTTCCTATCTAAATTAAACTATAATAAATATAATGTCAACAAAAATGCTACACAATCAATACAATTGAATAGTGGGAATGCCGAGTTCACTAAAAAATTATAAGCCTGTTAGATAGCTTAATTTTTTTGAAAGAACTGTAATGATTTATGTCGATTGAAGATAAAGATTAATGACTTTCGAATTTATGAAAATGTAATATAAATATACCGAAAAATAAACTTGATGACTTATGAGAATGAATGTCATTATTTTTCTGATTATAGTTTATAATCAGGGAAAATTAATATTCTTTCTCATTGAGTTTATTTTTCAGTATATTTTTATTAAATTTCCATAAATTTTTAATTCATTGACACTTCAATCAACTAAATCATTACATGATCAGTTCTTCGAAAAAATTAAGCTATCTAACAAGTTTATAATTTTTTAGTGAACTCTGCAGTCTCACTATTCAATTATATTTATTGTGTAGCATATTTTTTGACATTATACCCATTATAGTTTAATTTAAGTAGGAACATTTATTTTAGCTTCGTTGTCTTTAATTGTTCATGACTATCTGTTGTAAAGACTAGTTCACATTTAAAATGTTTTAATAAGGTTTTATGAATATTATTTTTAGATCCATTCGGTTTTGTGGCATCTTTTTGTGTGACAACTTTTTCGTTGTTCGATGCACCGCAACACATACTTGTCGTGTAAATTATCAATCTGCAGCAAATATTAACTTTTGGTTTTCTCTTTCTGACAACAAGTATTAGTTTCGGTTATATTTTTTGAACAAGAATATTCGACTTTTTTCGATTTGGTTAATTTTCTCTGACAATATACACATGTTTGAGTTGACATTACCTCTCGTTGAGTTTATTTGTATTTATTTCCACACATTTACAATTACTTTCTTGCTTCAACTCATTAATTTTTTTCCTTCATGAAACATAAATAGTCATATAATTTTTTTAACTGTTTTTGTTTCCAAGTGAGTGTTTTCATTTGTTTTATTTAATTCTTTTATTTTTCATAAAATGTTTTGATAATACTTCTTTCACCGTTTAAGTCCTTTTTGGCTTTATCGTAACGCATTACTAAGTCGTCAATTTTTTTACAACTTATTTCCAACTTGTTTGATGATTAATGTTCTCGCTTTATCTTAAACGGTTCCTCCATATGTTTGACAGATGATTTTGTGTCAAATAGAATTTTGTTTGTGGCTTTTAAGTCCATATTCAAATTCTTGTTTGTCTCATTTAATTTATTGCATTTTGTTTTGCTTCATCAAGTTCCCTGATAATAGCATGGAGGTTGCTGTTCATAGAACTTTTCTCCGCCGGCGTATAGAAGACAAAACATGTCTATAAATAAAATATATTTGTTTTTACTGTTGATAAAGAGTGTATATTATTGATTTACTTTGCAATGTTGTGTAATAATAATTATTAGAACATATTGGCCATTTATACTAGCATAGTTTGAGTTGAGTATTCTTTAGTCTATTGGATTAGCAAATTAGTTATCAAAGTGAGAAAACCATACAATTTTACAATAATATTATGCTGTATTTTTGAAAATAAAAGTTCCATTGAAAATTAAATGGATTTAAAATTTGATTTTTCTCCATATTACAAAATAAATAACTCTATAAAATGGCTATTTTAGAATTTCAAAGGGTTTTTTTATTTTTTTTTATTTTAAAACATTGTACAAGAGAGGCTTTTAGTCATATTATATAACATTGAAGAAACTGCCCTAAAATATCTGATACATTTTGAATTAAAGCTACTGACTTTCCAATTAATTTACATACTGTATAATCAATAACCATTAATTATCATGTATATTATATTATTATTATGCACAAAATGGTATTCGATCTAAAATTCAAGCTAAATAAATGTATAATAACACGTTATTATAAGGTAGGTGCCTATAATCACTATATTAAAGTGAGTTTTGCGCTCATGTTATAACAATTTATTGTACATACTTGCCTAAAAATAAATAAATTAGAAAAAATGTATAATTTAACTTTTATGAATAGTTAACACATAGTTTTAAATAGCTTATAAGTTAACTGTGATTTTTAATAACAATCTCCGATTACTATCCGAATCATTGGGGTACGAGCATAATTACTTCTTTAGCAACGTTATACATATCTAGTTTTATCAACATTGAGTATACAGTCATTTTATGCTATTTGTCGTAGGTACCATAATACATTGTACATACAGACATCCATATATAATAAAATAAATATGTACTTCTCTCGCACCCACAACTATATGGTAAATATTATGCTTAGATATATTTATACAAAAACCGGTTTTGTCTAAAAATTTCAGTTTTCCTTATTTTTTTCTTGGTTATTTTGAAAAATACCAGATTTTTTTATTTTTGATCTCCCAAAGTACCAACTAGATCCAACTTATTCCCAGAAACCACCCTCAAAGTTGATCATCGAAGTAGAGTACAATTATTTTTGTAAGTTATTTTGGGTTTTGTTAGGCTTTATGACGTATTACTCTATTACTATAGTTTATGTACGCTAACGAGTCCCATACGTTTTGGTCATTTATCGTAGGTATTAAAAATTCGTGTGCGCAGTTGAGTTGTGCATTAGCAGTAAGCAAACGAGTATCGCCCCTTTTGCGGAACATCAACAACAGATGGTTCCCAGGGCGATACCCGTTTGGGTGAACCACTGCTGCAGATAGTTCCTCAGAAGACTACGTCCGAGGATTATCGAGAGTTTACTGTGGGCGACTCGACATTGGTCTCGTTTATTGAGGACAAATCTATGAACCGATAAAAATGCATAGTATTATTATTATTGTTGTCAATATTTCGTATAATATCTGCAGACGCAACAGCGAAACGGGAGCGCGCGTAGGTCACACGCGAAAACGCGAAATTCACAGCAGCCGCCGTCGCTGGTCCCGCGCAAAAACATAAGTAGATCAGGGCAGCACCTGAATAATATTATGTCGTTTGATTCCAATATATGCGCTTGCAGAAGTAGTAGCAGTTGTAGTAGTAGTAGTAGTAGTAGTAGTAAGGTAGTATTAGTATGCCGTAGTATAGCCAGTGGGTATACGCAGTCGTATAGGTGTAGGTATACTCGCGCGAGTGTGTTCCAGAAATAACGGTACAAATCCGTTGTCCGCGATCGTGATTTATTCATCAGTGGTGTTGTATAATAAAATAGTACACCTGTGCACGCATTGAACGCGGTACATATATTATTATTATTATTATTATTATTATTATTTGTTATTACGACGCTCGAGTGTGCGGCCGGACAGCTCGATCAAAAATCAAAACACTAGTCGGAGAAAATTGCGATGGAGACAGAGAGGAGAAAACTACGAGAGAATGCGTGGACGACGAGATTGAGAGAGAAAATAAACAATTTAAAATCCCGAGCAGTGCGTTCCGAGAAAGGGTGGTCGCGCCGTGACCGATTTAACAAACGCGCTTATTTTGCATAATGCATCGTATTGTGATTGCGCGAGCACTGTATACGAATCACAGTCGTGTGTATCGCATTATTATTATAACCGATTTAAATGTCGACCGCTCGTCGCGCGCGGGCCTTCCGAAATACAAAAGTTTTCCAGGAAAAAATATGTAATTAGATAACGTTTAACGTGGAGCGCGTTTCCCTGGTCAACTCTTCATGGCCTCGCCTAACTTGCAGAGGAAAGAAACTGTACGACCGAATTCGAGTTTATTTCGGTTTCAACTGCTTCAAGGATTCGCAAAAAATACAGACGAATGACGATGTCAAAGATAACGAAGCTTTCATGCGAGAGAGGTGCAGTCTGCTGTTACAGTATACCTCCGCATATGAACGTGTAAAAAGCTGGCTATTGGACCATATATTTGTACATTTGAGACTTACAAAGTCATTAATTGGCCACGAAAAGATTATCATTAATTCTCCACGTGAAAGGAAAGAATACCACACAACAATCAATAGAGAAATTATCCTTATTGATATCCTAAGAAGTGGCGTAACTAGTGAATGGCTAGGAGGAGTGATTTGGCGATATAACCCCTAGACGGTCCTAAAACTATTTTCTTAACTGTATTCATTTGTTTTTAGTTTATAATATTTATAACATTCATCATTTTGAATTTTGGTATAAAAGTTATTTGCGTCAAGTCATATAAATACTTTTAACAGCGCGTTTTCTAATATATATAGCTATAATAAGCATATCGTAATAAAGGATTTAAAAAAAATCAACGAAAACTAGATGTAAGAATCATTATAAACATGATATATCAGTGTTTATTTGTTTTTGAACTTTTTCTCATCGTGTCAAATATGAAATATTTACATTTCAGTACTTCACCACCCATAAAATGGTCCTATAGTTACTCAACACGCAATAGGTAAACAAATATACTTGGCATGATTCGTTTTATTTAATGTAGTAAATTGTCATGATGAATTTTCACAACAGTTAGGTATGTGTGTTAAATTTGTGGACACAGTACATATATCGAGATTTAAAAAAAATGTATTAGCATAAAGTCGTTTATTTTTAAATTTACCGTTTACGATTTTCTCGTAACAGTAAATGATCGTTATCGATGAATTCCCGTGAAAATGCTTCAAGAAAATTCCCAAAACACGTCACCACGATCGACAAATACATTTAACGAATTCATTTAAAATTGTATTATTTCACTCAAATACGTGGAAATCTAACTTCATTAAAATGTTTTTTGTATTCATTTTTCAAAATATGCAATAGCAAACAATAGTAGTTTGATCAGATCCATATTGATCTTGGATTTTAACTAGGTATGAAATGTGTGCCAAATAAAAACATTAATTTTAATAAAAATTGATTTAGCAAAACTGAAATGCATAATTTATTAGTTTCCGAAATTTACTCGTAAAAACTATTATATTCTATTATTTTATTATACTAAACATTTTTTTTTTGTGAATAGTTAATAATCAATTAATAATCAAGTTATATGAATGGATATTAAAAACCACAGAGCTCATTTCCTACATAGATTATGGAAGCATAATTGCAGTTTAAACGCATAGTTTAAACTATAATGGTATGCTAGAAAAATTAAATATTAATATTATAAAGCTGAACAGGATCAGACCACTTGACGCACATAGTGGCGCTGTGATATTAATTTAAAATTAAATAATTATTTTCTCGATAACTTTTATCGTCATCATTTATTAACGACTGTAGAATCCAGGCGCTCTTCCATTTCATCTCATAGTCAACTGGATGGTTAATATCGATTTTCCGCGTGTGTGTTTTAAATTTGGAAAACTTATTATTTAAATATATAATATCGTAACCATGCGTATTACGAAAACTATACATAACTACAAAATAATACAACATCTCGAGCGGATATCCATTGTATTATTGACAATTTTCTGAAATAATGGGTGATGGATCTGTATTCCGTCTATATGCGTACGGTCGACGGGAAATTATATAAGGTACTCGTCGAGCGTTTAGGCGCGGTTGACGATTTGGATCTACATAGATCTATTTCTGTAGTAATAATAACTCGTAAGAGTCGTAACACAATAATACTGAAACAGGCCGTGGCGTCCGTCATTTTTCGTGAGATCGCCATTATTATTGTGGGAGTGTTTAAAATTGACCCAAAAAAAAAGTGGTCAAAACACTGTTGTGTATGTTATTGTAACT